TTTATTAATACGCCTGGTTAAAGCATAAAGGGAACCTGTCACTGCCCATTCTATCACAAGGAATGTTGTTCATCCCTTGTGACAGCAATAAAGTTGATCCAAAAAAATAAATAAAGATTCATTGTAACATTTCTTACAAAAAATTAAATCCATAATAAAGTAAAAAATGTTAAAGCACTCCCGTCTCCCCATGCCCACTAGCAAATGCTCACACACATGCATATGTAAACGGTAATTGCACATGCGTGGTATCACCATGAACATCAGAGCATGAGCAATAATTCTAGGGCCAGACCTCTTGTGTCACTCTGAACTGGTAACCTGTAAAAGGCTTTTAAAGTGCCATCTATGGAGATTTTTAGGTACTGCAGTCTTGTGCATTTCCACAAGCATACGCGGTTTTAAAGCGTGACATGTTCGATATTTTATTTACTCGGCATAACATTATCATTTCTGTTTTTACCCAAAAATGGGTATTATATTGTGTTTGTCTGTTTTGTTTTTTTTCCTGAAAATTTGCATTTGATAAACCACTGTGCAAATATTGCGCAACATAAAAATTTGCAATGCCCGCCATTTTATTCTCCAGGGTCTCTGCTTTAAAAATATATAATAATTGGGGGTTCTAAGTAATCTTCTAGCAAAAAAAAAAATGCTGACTTTTTTTTTTTTTTTTACATGTATGAGAGAAATGTCAGGATTGGCCTGGACTGGAAGTAATAAAGAATACCCCATATCCAATAAAGTATATAAAATGCAGTATTCCCATAAACAAGTCATGTACCTTTAACATATAGGCTCATGTGTAGAAATGTTAGGAAAACGGTAATGCCCACAGCGACCAATCAGATTTCAGCTTTCATTTTTTTCTGGATCTAAATTAAATCTGTCCTCTGGTCTCTATGGGCATTGCCTCCATTTTTTGTTTTCTCTGAAATTGATGAGGTTTTAAAGCTGTGACGACTTTCTCTGGGGGGTTCACCAAAGTGTACAGAAATCCTGTAAATTTATTTTGTAAGAAAGAATCACATTTGTAGTGTAACTCTTTAGTCTTTGTTACGGCAGAAGCCCGGGAGATAATACTGCCTTGTTGAATATTCAGCCTTAGGTGCCAGATGTCACTGTTATCACATGGTGCTTTCCAGGAGCCTCCTGACTCTGTGCTGACACTATGCAATCCTTCATCTGCACAGCTCAGTGGAATCCCGTTATCTGCTCCAGAAGAACAGGCATTTTATGTGTACACCTGGCATCCTCCGTTCATTATGTGTTTTCTTGTTTGTTCAAAGACCAATTGAGGGTGTAAACAAAAAATCATTCCATTAAATTGTTATTGAAGAGATACATTGCATTCCAGCAAAGACAGAACAGACTGCAATGTAACCTGTAGAGCAGGGGTCTCCAAACTTCTAAACAAAGGGCCAGTTTACTGTCCTTCAGACTTTAAGGGGGGCGGACACGTTCAGTGGGAGCAAACATTGTCCCATCTTTGGTATTGGGGGAATTATTGGTGTCAGTGATAGAATAGTGCCCCATCGTGGGTGTCAGTGGGAGGAATAGTGCCCCATCGTTGG